CCAGCCCCGTGTGCAAAGGTTGGGATGCATGGTGTGGCTTCCAACCTCCCTCCTCCGCTGCACGAGCGACCAAACATTCCGCTGTAGTACCTTGTTCACCGCGGGGGCTTTAGAAACTTGTCCGTGATATCTGCCCTTCCCCACCATAGCAGGGAAGAGAGACGGACCCCCGGTTGCTCTGAGGTGACCCATGCGCTCCCAGCTTACTTTCTTCTTTAAACATTTGGGTTTTTGCTTATGTGTGCCATGGAGGTCAGAGCACAACCTGCAGGAGTCTCTCCTTCCACTATATGGAGTCCGGGTTTTTTTGTTTGCTTTGAGACAGCCCTGGGTGGCCTGGAACTTGCTATGTAAACCAGGCATGCAGAGATACACCTGTCTGTGTCTCCTGAGCGTGTGCTGCCATGCCCCGTGGGCTCTAGGAATTGAACTCAGACTATCAGGCTTGGCCGCAGGCACCTTGATCCACTGAGACAGTCAGTCAGTCCCCTTGAGCATTTGCTATGTGTTCCCTCCACTCTTGGGTTTAAATCTTGGTGGAGTGGGCGGCGGCGGCGGGGGTGGGGTGCTTTGGGGTGTTTCATTCCCTATTCCCAGTCTCTCATCTTTGGGTCACTCCTTTGTGGTTTCTGCGAACCCCCAGCCTGAGGCACACATGCCCCGCCTGGGAGAGCTGGGCCCTGTTCCAGGGGTTTGCCCTCAGTGATGGATTTGTATGCTGGGTGCTGGGCCAGGTACCTCCGACTCAGAGGCCCGCAGACGTTTTCCTGGTTCCCCCTTTCTTCTCCCTCCTTTGGAAGGACTTGTGCTTTCTGCTGTTTTGGTGTCTTTGTATCCTTCATCCTGTTTGCTAGAGGCTGACTTCCTTCCTGCACAGTTTCTCTCTGGCCGCCTTGCAAGTCCTTTTTCTTTCCTTTCTTCATTAGTCTCTTTTGTTTGACTTGTAGAAATATTTTGTTTATTGTTACTCCTTGTAATCAGGGTGCTCTTTGACTCTTGGTGTGTGGGAGCTTGCTTTCCATTTTGGGGTGTGCAGGAGAGACCTAAGTGCAGTATTCCAGGCTTGGTTTGTGTCCTGGGAGTGTTCAGAGTCCCGGGGACGGGCTCCAGCCCTCCCTAGCCAGTATCCACGCCTGTCTGGGCACTGATGGGGTGGCTGACAGGACCGAGTCCTTGGCACTGTGCTGTATTCCTGAAGGCAATTGCGGTCACAAACTCCTTGGGGTTGGAAAGTACCTCAGTGGTTTCCAAAAGCCTGGCTGTGGCCTGGTGCTGCAGAAGCACCTGGGCAGGATCTCTGTCTGGCTTGGCCACCAGGGCAGGACATTGGTTTAATGGAAAGAGGTTAAAAGGCGCTGAAGAAGGTGCCAAACTCTGAAGTTCTTCTAGGCTATAGGATCACTAGCAGCTTTTATAGTCTCCTTTGGAAGGACTTGTGCTTATATTTTATGATGGTTTTACATTGAATATGTATTGCTTTTATTATTTAAAGACATGATAAATTTTCCTTCTGACCTTCCTTTCTTCCCTCCCTCCCTCCCTCCCTCTTTCCTTCCCTCCCTCCCTCCTTACTTCCCTCCCTCCCTCCCTCCCTCCTTCCCTTTATATTTGTAATACTAGGGATTGAACCCAGGACCTCTGTGTGTGCTAGGCAAGTGGTCTACCACTGAGCTATGTTCCCAGCTGCTTTCTGCTTTTAAAAAATAATTTTAATTATTTTTAATTATTTATGTGTGTCTTCGTGTAAGGGTATTTATTGCTGCAAAGAGACACCATGACCACAGAAATTCTTATAAAGAAAACAGAGAGTCTGAGTCCGTTACCATCATGGTGGGGAGCTTGGTGGCATGCAGGCTGAGGTGGGGCTGGCTACATCTTGACCAGAAGGCAACAGGAAGTTGACTGACAGTCACACTGAAGGAACCTTGAGCAAAAGAGAACTCAAAGCCCCGCCCCCACAGTGACACACTTCCTCCAACAAGGTCTTACCTCTTAATAGTGCCACTCCCTTGAGGGGGCGGGCATTTTCTTTCAAACCACCACAGTGTGTTTATGTCTGTGTGGGGTTAAGTGCATGTGGGTGTAGGTGCCCTTGGGGATCAGAGAATCAGATCCCCTGGAGCTAGAGTTACAGATGCTTGGGAGCCACTGGTACGGGTGCTGGGAACCAAACTTTGGTCCTCTGCAAGAGCAGCTCACAACTCTAGACCACTGAGATATCTGTCCTGTCTGCATCTTCATGGAGTTTGTTCAGTATGGAAGCTCCTGGGCCCCTTCCCTGGATGTTCTGACCCTCTTGGCACAGGTGGGACTGGGACACTCATCTTGTGACACAGTTGGGTTCAGAAGTTATGGATCTAATAGAGCACCGGCTAGTGAGAGATCCAGCCTAAAGCCGGACTCCGATGCCTGATTGAGGCTCTAACTCCCTCCCTTAGTGCCTGTTTGCCAGGTCAGGAACCTCGAAAACTCACAGGGTGGCCTGGCTTCTGCTCAAAGGCCAGGCTGTATGCACCACCCTCTGCACTCAGGCTTGGCCCTGCTCCTCTTCATCCTGACTGACCTCTCACCAGCTCACAGATGCTTCTCTGACTCTAAAGAATGGGTGAGATTGTTTCCTTGCCTCGCTCCCAAAGGACCTGGAGACCCAGGAAGTATCCATCCTCTGAGCAGATGACCTCCACAGATAGAACTGGGGAGAAACCTAGGCACACGGAGATAGGATTGGTGCAGGTAGTGGATCGTAGGGTCCTGAGCTCCTTCCCTGGCCATCTCGCTGTTTTGAGATGGTGTGTGTAGTAAAGGGATGGATGGCGGGTCTTCTCTGACACAATGAGAGCTGGTGACATATAGCATACAGTGATCGCAAGTAGGGACGTCACTCTGGGTTCTAGCCCGTCCCTGCCACTTACTAGCTATGGGATGGCTGGGTTAGATCTTCGGTTATCTCATCTGTTAAGGGCATAACAGACTCATTTCATAGGGTTTAGGGAGGTGATGGGGTTTTACCCTAAATAGAAGAATTCTTTTTAATCCTGTGCTATACCTCAAACCCCCCAATCCTTGGTATCTTGTTGAAAAGGCGCATTCCGATTCAGTGCATCAGCATTTCCAGTGAGCTTCCCTGGTGATGCTGAGGCTGCTGTCGTGAGGACCACACCTCAGGAAGCAGAACTATAGAGCGCTATAGAGGTGTGGTGGGACCACCACCATTTGTTGAAAGCCATAGTTGCTATTGTCACTGGGCTTTGTCAGACAGGTACCCCAGGAGACTCACAGCGCCGGCTGACCGGCCTCTCTGCCTCCAAGGACTCATCTTTTCCCCGGGGTCTCCTGTGCCACTCGTGACCTTTGCACCTGTCGTGGGTAGCAGCTGGGGAGGCATGGTGGAGGGACTTCTCCCAGCTGCTGCAGGCCTGGGTCTCTAGCTCTGCAGCTGAAGTTCAGGCCTCTCCACTGGAACCAGACTTTGTTAAGCTGCGTAAGCTGCCTGTGTGTTTCCTCTTTTTTACTCATCTTTGTTTACAAAACACGAGGAAGCCATCAGTCTCCCCAGCGCCTGCTGCCAGGCTTCTCTGTGGCACACCCGCTTCCCTTAACCCACTCGGCAGGCACTATGCCTCCAATCTGCTCGCTCGCTTGTTCTCCACCCTCCCCTTCACCATGGCGGTGGATGTGGGGTAGTCTGTGTCAACCTTAGTTGGACACTATGTTTCCCTTGGTGGCTGAGGGCAGTGGGGAGGGGACCCACAGCCTGCTTGGTTCCCTGGGGAAACCTGGGGCTGGATGGAACTTCAAAGCTCCCGGAGTTCAGGAAACCTGGGCGTGTGACCTGCTTGTCTTACTAACTGACACTCCGTGTAAGTAGGAGTTGCCTGGTAGGAGCTGATGACCATGGTTAAAGACAACCTGAGAGCCCCCTCACTCCCATCCTGGACACCTCACATAAACTTACTTGCTGACTGGGCCACTGAAGGACTCTAAATCCAGCCTGGGCTGGCCCCCTCTCTACACACGAGGCTTTTATCCCCCTGTCCACTAAGAACCCCACGGAGAGGCCCCAGCCTCTCCTCCTCCCCTGGCAGACAAGGAGAGAACAAAGACCGCCTCTTCCAGCACTCCCTTGTCCCCTTCAGGCCCCTGCTGGCCTCTGGGAAATGGTACCTGTGTGGACAGGACACCAGCCAGAAACCTTTGTGCTTCTGACCTCTGAACTTTGCCTCCTGGCTTCCCAGCCTGACAGTAGGACCTGGGATAACCTCCAGAGCTAGTGTGCATTCTTTGTTTTTGTTTTGTTTTCAAGTGTGTTCTTGCTTAACATTTAATTGGCTCCAGTCAGTAGGAAAGCACTCCAAGAGGGATTATTTATGGCTTACTGTCAAAAGCGGCTATAAAAAGGGCAGCCCAGAGCTGGGGATGCTGAAGGGGGAGAGGGCGGGCGCTCTCTCACATAAGTAAGTGTGTGTGTGTGTGTGTGTGTGTGTGTGTGTGTGTGTGTGTGTGTTTGTACTGGATGAAATCAGTTTTTTGCTGCCTCAGCAGTGTGGTTTAAATTGAAGATTAACCCTTTGACCTTCACAGTGTCAAATCACTTGCAGATGGAGCCCCCCCCTTCCCTCTCTTGTTCTCTGTGTTCCTTTGGAATGGAGGAGAGGGAGGGACTTCTTGTCTTTCTCGCTCAAGCAAGATTGTTGTTCATGCAGCTGAGGTTTGGGGGGCTCAGGAGCCAATCTGATTAAAAGCAGTACTTGGCTAAACTCTGGAAAAGTCCTGCGAGCAGGGGAGAAAGTCTGATCCTCCCATCACCGTCCATACAGCCTAGCTGAGTGTTTCCCAAACTGCAGTTGTCTTTGGAGTTTTGTCCCGTGTGCCCCCGGTTTGCTAGACGGCACAACAGTGCCAGTCTGAGATCTGGCAATGGGAACTTGTTTGGGAGACAGTAAGGAACCCGTGATCTAGGCTGGTGCCTGGCACCTAACGCTCATCTCTTTCCCTTACAGCACCAGGAGAACCGAGACCGTGCGTGGTGGCAGGTCTTCCTCTTCCTGCAAAACCTGGCCTTGAATAGAGAAGAAAACAGGGAAGGCGTGGGTCCCTGGTGAGGCTGGGTGGCCCTTGCTGGATGCAGCACCAGAGTGCAGTCTGGAGCAGGGCAGACATCTGGAAGGACGGAAGCTATCTTGTCAAGTTTTGTTATTTTTAACTTTTGTTTCCTGTTTGTACATATAACATACCCCAGTGAGATCTCCTTCCCCTGTTCAGAACCTGCACTGGGAATGGGGGCTTTGGTCAAACACTGTTGAAGGAGAGGCGGCTGTGCCTGCTGGTGGAGTTCCGAAGGCTCTGACGATGACCAGTTGGTGGTGCTCTCCAGGAAGTAGACTGAGGCTTTCCTACTGAAGCTGGTTAAGAAATAGGAGGTCAGGTTAGACTCCCAGTGTCACCAAATGTGTCGGCCTTCCCTCACGCCTGATGGAAACACAGCTTTAACCCACCAGACCTTGCCCTGGGGCATCGTGGCTAAGAACAGCAATGCCTTGGCTAGCCAGCCCTACATCTGGGTTCCCACTTGGCACAGCCAGTGCCCACCGCATGGGCTCAGGGATTCTTATCCAGACCCGTCACCTCCAGAAGACCTCAGGGAGGGTCGGACTTCTTTAAGAACCTCTCAAAGGTGCCTCAAAATGGAATCAAGCTTGACAGGTCTCTAGTCTGACTTGGTCCCCCATGGAAGCCCCTTGATTGGTCCCAAGGTGCAAACTACTGCCACCTTTGCTGCCTGGGTGTCAACCGTGTGTGAGCCGAGTTGCTGGTCAACCATCGTGTTGTGCCCAGGAGCCTGTGCCTTTGTCAGCTGTTTTCAAAAGACCCTGCCAACTACTGGACTGGATTGGACTACCACCCGCCTCAGCAGCCGCACTTCGAGATGGGGTGGGTTCACAGGGGATCCACGGATCAGTCAGTCCCAGGGTCTGACTCTTGGTTTCCTTGGAAACGTGTACCTCCTCCCCCTTATCCCCATTCCTTTCTAGTACCTAGTAGGATACAGGAAGAAGCTGACACAGTGACTTTGCCAGCCGAAAGGTGACTTTTGAAGTAGCAGACAATGTTTAGAACATGGAGCTGGCAGAGCTGGGTACACATTTCCTATCTTCCTTCAGCTTCCAGCCAGGCCAGAACCCAGCGGACTCTCAGCTTCCTTCTCTCCCTGCTGTGGTACTCAGGGAGGGGACTCAAAGCGGCTGACCTTCATCACAGGGTGTCTCCTACCCCGATACCTGGAGACCAAATCGTAATTTTTACATATATATGGAAAGACATTGGTGCTAAAGACAAGGCTCAGAGAAAGGTGGCTTCCCCGAGTAAAGAAGACTCTGGGGTCATGCAAGGAATTTGCAGGAGGAACTCAGAGTAGAGCAAACTGAACAAGCCCAGTAACTCTCATTTCTGCAGAGAGGTGGGGGTGGGGCTTCACTCCTGTAGAAGGGCAACTGACCCCCCTGGGTGTGCACAAGGGTATGAGGGGCTTATAGAGGCTGAAGTCCAGCCTGTGCTCTGCTCTCTAGGCCGTGTGTTAGGCTGGATCTGCTCACTTAGGGATGTCTTTCCTAATTTACACAGAGGACTGTATGCACTCACAGCGGGCCTCCTGAGAAGGCCCTCAGAATACTCATATAAGCCTTTGTGTATTTCTGCTCAGACGATCTGGAGATATTACCTCTTCTTGGTCACAATCATTTTCTCAGGGTGTATACCATGGCCCATCTGCTAAGAAGTGGGTTCCTGTTTGCAAGGAGAAAGGACCTAACTAATGAGTATGAAGACTGGTTCTGGGGCACACTAACCATTTTGAAGCCCAGTCTTCTTCTATCTCTCCCATGCAGTTTAGATGTGTGTGGGGGTTTCCACTTTCCGGGATCAAGGCTATGACAGGCAGGCTTCTGGTATGTGCATGGGACATGTGCTGTGGTACGTGCGTGCCCCCGCCCCATATAGAACCGTGTGCACCAGTCATCTTTAAACCTCTTAGCAGACTTTCCATTCAGAGACCTTTGCCAGGTGCAGGCTAAGTGCCCTGTGATCTGTCCTGAGAACTGAGCCCAGAGTTTGACCTGAACGTTGAGTCTGGGGCCAGGTGGAAACTGGTCGGAATACACTGTCTCCACTTTGGGCCTAGCCAGGGGCAGACTCACTATCTTGGGCAAGCCAGGGTGAAATTTAAACCCTCTTTTATCTTCCTCCAACCTGAATCCAGGCTGGGGTTGAAGCTCAATAGTAGAGAGTGCTTGCCTAGCAGTCAGAAGACCCTTGGATGGATCCCCAGGGCTATAAAATAGAAATAAACAAAAATACCACCCACCACCACCACCACCACAGTAAGCCCTAGGAGGTAGCTGGCAGCCCAGCCCCAGGAGGTAGAGGTTCCCCCTGGCTGGTTGCTTTAATTGGCCAGTGATCTCTGCCTGGTAAATTGGCTTTATAGTCTTCCAGGCCAGCCAGCCCACCCCTCCCCATTGCCTCTCTCCAACTCCAGGAGCCTGACTGTCTCTAGTGAGGAGCGGAGATTCAGATTTAGAGGGAGGGAATGTCTGACCTGTGTGATGACCTGTAACTGGCTGAGGCAGTGGGCTTTTGTGGTGTGCTGGGGATGGGGGTGGGAGAAAGACTGGAAAACCCAGGGTAGAAATGCCCTAGAGGGACACAAGCCCACATTCAGGAGCCAAACTGCTCTCCTAATTCACAATTCCCAGTAGGCATTTCTAGAAGCCAGTGAACAGATCTGGAAAGGAGCATCCCCCATCAAGTTACTGACTCCCCAGTGAGGCTGGGGCAGGCTGGCGGGAGTGGGAGGGGGAAGCTCTCCGCCTGGCCCTGTCTATTTCAAAGTCTGGCTGCGCTGTGCAGTTGTCCCCAGTGGCCCTGTCTTGCTCAATCAGAGGTGGAAAAAGATCACCTCCCGGTGACCTCCCTCAGGCCCCAAGGGATGGGCTGTGTCCAGAACTATGTGGCAAAGCTTGTTTCCAGGGCCTAGAGAGGCCCAGCTGGCTTGCCTCGCAGCCTCAACCACAAACCTAAGCCCAACCCTGAGCATTGTGGGGAGTGGGGTATTGGGACAGTCTGGCTAGAACCGCCGTCTGCCCCAAGCTTTCCAGGAAATAGGTAGCGAACTCACTATGACCATCCTGGTCAACGAGGAGAAAAGTTCTCTGAGGAGAGTATTCCGTTCTGGGGACTTGATAGGGAGTGGGGTACGGGTGCACGGTGTAGCCAAAGCCGTTGGTCTTCATGGCTCTGCTGGATTTTGAGGAATCAGTACTGTGGCTGCCATCCTCCTGGTGGAGCACACTGGATCCATGAAGATGAGGACCTTTGGAGGCAGGCTATCCTGGCCTGTTACCCTGGTAGGACAGGGTGGACCAACAGGCATTCAAAGTTTCCTGGGATTCCTGAGGGTCAGGGCCTCCAGGGAACAGCAGAACACAGCTGGGCTCTTCCATGGATGTCTCGCTTTCACCAAGGTGCTACGAGGTGTGCGGCCTCAGGATTGCACTGCCCCTCCTACAGATGTCTGATGGTCCACCCCATCTCTGGGTCCGCAGGAACTGACGGGGAGACCCAGTGAGATGTAGCATTTCATTCGTCCCCAGTTTGGTTGCCCTGGGGTCTGGGCAGTCTGCCTTAAGGAGAGGAATGGGGACCGTTATTTTTTAACCTGTACATAATATTTGGCTTTGTTGTTGTTGTTCTTCACGTGTATGCATACGTGTGTAAATATCTCCCTCATCAACTGGTACAATTTTTAATAAAACCATTTAAAGCAAATCTGTTCTTTATTTTTCTAAGATGTGGTAAAAATACAAGAAGGGGCATCGAACACTCTTAATGTGTTTCTCCCCCAACATCCTGAGTTACCCTAGAGGTGTTGTGTGCTTGCTACACTGCTTTTGCTTCTTGGAGTTGGGAAGAACAGTCTGGTCCTGGGCACAGGATCACAGAAGCCCAGCGTCATGGGAAAAGGGGGCTTTGGAGGGGTCAGTCTGGCTTTGGGTCCAGTCTCTGGCCTCCACCCGCGGAATGACCTTGACAGTGATGGGGTGTGCCACAAGCCTTGCCACCTCTGGACCCCAGCTCTCTCTGGTGGAGAGGAGCTTCCTGCCTCTCTACACACAGCCTATGCCCCTGGCATGCCAAACCTTGGCTTCCTGGTAAGCAGATAACAAACACCAGGTGACATCTCAGGCCTGGCTTGGTAGCAGCTGCCTGGGAGACTGAGGCAGGAGGATCACAAATTCAAGGCTGACCTGAGCTATAAGCAGTTCAAGACCCTGTCGTAAAAGCAAAGAAGACTGGAGATACTACTTGGTGATAGAACACATTGCAAGCAGGCTTAAAGCCTCAATTTCAATCCCCAGCTCACAAGAGTAGGGATTGAGTGAAGGGAGAGGGCTCAGTGGATACCAGTGGGTATGTACCAAAAACTCCATAGTGAGACTCAATCAATTAATTAAAAGGTAGCCTGTCGGGAGTCGTGTGCTGGGTGTGTAGGGACTTCCTGGTTGGCCTTTCCTTGTGTCTGTGTGAATCAACCCTGCGTGAGATGCCAAGGGTGATTTCCAGCTCTTGACCGAGTTCTCCAAGTCCTTAGCATAAAGCTGCTGTGGTTCCTGCGTGACCCTGCGCTGTGAGCAGAGGGCCAGCTGGCCTTCCCTGTGCCACACTGCTGGGAAGCCGCCAGCTCTCCACAGATGTCCTACTCCGTAGAATGTAGCGACTTGAACTGTCTTGTCCTACGTCTTTGCTTTACAGGTCGGCTAACTGAGGCCCGCGCTGGCCTGTCCGTTCCTATGGAGGCTCTTTAAGCAGCTGAGTCAGACCGGATGTGTGTGTGTCTCACTCTAGCTGGGTTTCCATTTGAAAATCACATTGCCAATGCCCAGCTATTTGAGGAAGCCAACACTCGGCTATTTTTGATGCCAAATAACTGTCTCTTCTGTAAAACATGGCACTTCTAACTACTCTATATTTGAACAGTAAGGTTTATTTTTACTGGAGTATGGTGGAAGTGGGGCTTAGTGCCATGTCCAGATGCTATTCTACACATTACATGCTATGCTGGAGTTGAGTCTATTAAGCAGTTCCTATGAGCTACGCAGAGACTCAGTAAGTGCCTAGTGATAGTTACCTTCATTTAAATTTTTTTTAAAAAAAATATTTGTTTATTTGAGACAAAAATTTTCAGTATAGCCCTCACTGGCCTCAAGCTCATGGTAATCCTTCTGCTTCAGCCTCCCCAGTTCTGAGATTTTTAGATACACTTTGCTTATTTATTTAATTTGAGGCAGGATCTCACTGTGTAACCCTGGCTGGTCCAGAATTCTCTCTTGTAGACAGGGTTGGTCTCAAACTCCCAGAGATCTACCTGTGTCTACCTCCCAAGTGCTGGGATTATTGGTGAGTGTCACCATGCCTGGCCATTTAATTCCTGTCTTGCGAGTCATCTTGCCCCTACTTTTGGTAGCAACCCGGAGGCTCATCCTTGCCCCGCTCGGCTTCCTTCTTGAATATGACTTATCGGGAGGCAGCACGGTGCAAATTTTAGGAAACTCTGGGTGGTCTGAGTTGGAGCCAGGTACTACCATTCTCCAGCTGTGTGGCATCTGGCAGGTGACATAATCTTTCTGTGCCTCAGTTTCCCCAGTTGTAGTACCGACACAGAATTGTGTGAAAACATGTAAGGTTCTTAGAAAAGTGCTTGGGATATATTAAGTCGTCAATAAATGTTTCACTGTTAAAGTATTGCTTTTTAATACTTTTTGTAAGTGAGGAACCAGTACGTTTGAACGGACTATAATTACTACAAGTATTTCTCCTAGCTGCAGCCTTCTTTCTCTCTGCTGCTCCCAGCCTTGCCCCTTCCACAGCCCCTTTCTCAGCTGCCAGGGGTCTTTCCAAAGACAGATGCAGGGGCTGGAGAGACGGCGCAGCAGTGAAGAGCGCTTGCTGCTCTTCCAGAGGACCAGAGTTCAGTTCCCAGCACCCACGTCGGGTGGCTCCCAACGGCCTGCAACTCCAGGTCAGGGGAGCCAATGCCCTCGTCTAACTCCACACACATGGCATGCACTCACCCAGATACATGTACATACACATAAATAAACTCTTTGGGGGCCTGCTACCCAGTTCCCAAATAAATACACAGAGACTTATTCTTACTTATGAATGCTCAGCCTTAGCTTGGCTTGCTTCTATCCGTGTTTTTTTTTTTTTTTTTAACCTTTTGCCTCCGGACTTTTCCCTTTCTCTATCCTATATACCTTTCTTTCCTTCTTACTCCGTGGCTGGTAGTGTGACTGCGTAACTGGCCCCTGCATCCTCCTCTCCTTCTTTTCTCAATCTTCCCTCTTCTCTTCTCCTCTCAAGCCAAGATTTACTCCTATTTATTCTCTCTGCCTGCCAGCCCCCTGCCTATCCCTCTCCTGCCTAGGTACTGGCCATTCAACTTTTTATTAGACCAATCAGGTGTTTTAGACAGGCACAGTAACACAGCTCTACAGAGTTCAACATAGAAGAATGCAACCCATTTTTGCATCATTGAACAAATGTTCCACAGCATAAACAAATGTACCACATCTTCAAGTAATATTTCACAACACGTGGTGCTGCGCATGCCTTTAATTCCAGCGCTTAGGAGGCAGAGGCAGGCAGATTCTGTGAGTTCAAGGCCAGCCTGGTTTACATGGTGAAACCCTGTCTCTAAACAAACAAACAAACAAACAAACAAACAAACAGATCTTAAAACAATAAAGGCCACTGCAGTCTCAGTCCCCCTACCACAAAACGCTGCCAGAGCATTCCTAGGCCTGCAGGAATACCAATACTAGCGTGTTAGCAGTCTGCATGTGTGTTCTGCATAGCCAGTCACCCTTACACATGGCGGATTGAAACGACAGGCATTTATGAGCTCATGGCTTCTTTTTTTATTTGTTTGTTTTTCAAGGCAGGGTTTCTCTATGTATCCCTGGCTGTGCTGGAACTCACAGAGCTCTGCCTTCCTCTCCTGAATGCTGGGATTAAAGGCATGTGCTACTGCCTGGCAAGCTCATGGTTTCAGGAATTCTCGATCAACAACCCAAGACGGCAGCAAGATGAGTCTGGAGTGCTGGTATAAAGTGGGGTTAGTTGAAAGGCCCGTTTAGTTTGCATCAAGTCAGGGGTGTGGTTTAGCTGAGGAGGGCTAAAGAGAGGGGCTCATAGCATTGGGGGGGGGGGGACTCACAATGATGTATTAGTGCACAGTGACATAGTACGGCTCTCTTGTACTCCATGTGCAAGTGGGGTGTGTGTGTGTGTGACAGTGTGACATGGAGCATGTACAGGCCCTTCCCTGGTCATGTCACAGCAGAGTCTGATCATACACAGATAAGCCTCTCTGCTTCAGTGTTTTAAATGCCAGCCAGTGTTTTCCACGGCTGCTCAACTGAGAAAAACCTGGCTGGCTGGGCTTTCCTAAGAAGTGATCATGTCTGCTTGTTGAACTTCATGGGCATCTTAAAGGATTTTCAAGGACAATTTTTACTTTGTGTGATTATTCCCCCCCTCATTGGAGGTCTTGGAACTGATCCCTTTGTAAAACGAGACACTTACAGCCCACTAAACCCGATTTCTCTGCCCTTAATCACTGGCTTCCTGGGAGAACTTTTTGCTTAATGGGGGAAGACTGTACAGAACTGAATTCTAACTAAAATTAGAAGTGCCATTTGGGCCAGGCAGAGGTGGCGCACACCTTTAGTCCCAGTACTTGAGAGACAGGAGTAGGTCAATCGCTGTGAGTTCGAGACCAGCCTGGTCTACAGAGTGAGTTCCAGGACAGCCAAGGCTACATAGAGAAACCCTGTCTCAAATAACAAAACAAAACACACAAAAAAGAAATGCCACTTGCGGAGGTGAGAAGGAGCCATGTTAACCATATCCTGTGAGCCACTGACACGGAAAACTTCCCTGGCACCAAGCCACTCGACATTTGTGTGACTCTAACAGTGCCTGAGAGAGTGAGGCCCACTGATGAGCCAGTGACCACAGAGACAAGGAACCATCCTAAGCCCAGGGCACAGAGCCAAAGTAAGCCACGTAGCTCCTGTCCTGAAGATCATACCCTGCAAGAGATCCAGGTGGTGCAGAACATTGGAAACCCTACCCAGCCCGGACTGAGGAGATGTGATTCGTAAGATGACTCTGTCACTAATTGGGGAAGTGACTTGGGACAGGACCTTTTGGGTCTTGGACATCCTCATCTGTCAATGGGATGGGACTAGGCTTATCTGTCCACGTTTTGTCCATTGGTTCCTTTGTGGGGGTGGGAGATGTTGAATTCTTTTGTTTATACTGAAACAAAATACCCATCATCTCCCCAGGAAAAAAAGCATACAACGTGTCTAAACTCAAGGATTTGTGTGTAAGATTTCAGGCAATTAGCTGGGGCGTGGCTGACACATGCCTGTAATCCCAGCACTGGGGAGGTTGAGGCAAAAAAGATCGAGAGATTGTACAGTGAGACATATCCTCTCTCTCTCTCTCTCATATGCACGCACACAAAACAAAAACAAAATCAGGTTTTTTTGGTGATTGTTTTGAGGTGGGCCTTTCTTTGTAGACCTGGCTGGCTTCACAGAGATCTGCCACCTGCCTCTGCCTCCTGAGTGCTGGAACCAGACCCGGCTATGAGAGATTTTAAAATGTAATAAAGACTGTCTTATTGCAAAGCAACAAGCTTAAGAGCAAGCATTGCAGAGGCTTAGAAGCCTACGTGGGTCTTCTTTATCCACAAG